GTCGATCAAACGATGGTAACCGGAAAGAGGCAGAGATTAGGATAGCATTTTACGAGATTCTGATTCTCAGAGCAGTATTGCAAGTTGGGTGATTATTTTGTCCCTTCTTCTCCGGTTCGATTGATTCGGTTATTGTATCAAATCCGGTTCTGGAAAATGTTTTGTTGTGGAATACCGGTCACGATTTAATTACCATTCAATGGTAAAAATAAAATTATAAAGAAATATGGATAGAACAATAAAATTTAAAATGCAATAATTTTATTCGAAAGAGATCATCAAAGCACACAAAAAAAAATGTTTTAGAGCATCTCTAACCCATATCTATTTTTACTTGTATGAGGTATAAAGTATTCAGACATAAAAACGTATATGCGTTTGAATTTTACATGAGTATACCAAAGACTATCTACACATCTCCCAAATCAAAGGTGTCATTTACTTCTATGCCCTTAGTAAGTATATATATAGAAGAGGTATTTATCTGCCACTGTAAGTAAATGAATTAACCAAGATAACAAAATTCATAAGTTGATCTTTTTCTTATGGTAACTGCTAACGAGTGCACAAAATGGCAAATGTTTATCACTTATCAGTTTTCTTGAGTTTAGTAGACAGTTAATAAAAAGAAAAGCAAACCACTGCTAGGTGTTGATTGGTGTGTTTTTAATGTATTTTATTGTAATTCTATCTATAAGTATTTTGTTGGGTTTGAAGAATTCATAAATCATAATACTCACTACTTGATTATTTTTACCGTCGTCCTCCCCTATATCTCCCATACTCAAGCTCATCGGCGGAGGCACACGACGGCTAATGCTTTTAATTATTCGTAGATTTCAATAGATTAGGGTTTTGGAGTGGTTTTTAGTTTTAAAAAAAAATTAGTGAAAAAAAAGTTTTCGTATAAAATAGCTAGGGAACTAGGTTTTTTTAGGGTTTTGACACATTTTAAAAGGAAAACCAAAATCTACAAACTTATTGGTGTTTCTCTATCTCTTACCTGATAAGAGTGCATGTTCACTTTCTTGGTCTGAATATCGTACATCTTCTGACAGCATCCTTGATCTTCTTCTTGTCGGGCTCTGATATCGACAATGAACTCAAGTGTATTGATGTCTTCAATCTTCTTCATTGCAGACTCAGTGGTGAGAGGAAACTTAAGAA